CTCAATAGGATCCATTTCGCTACAACCCTTACTTCTCCCCCTCAAGAATAAAAGATCCCACCTCCCAGCCAGAACCCCAGATTCCCAAGTGTCCTGTCCCACAACTCCCATACCCCAAATATTTCCAGGCACCTTCCTGTTCCCCTTGGCGTCAAGGTCCCCTCCTCCCTCAACCTCTCACACCCTGGAAGAGAGCAGGAAACAGGCAGGCCGGAGGCAGTGGAAATCCGGCCATTGTTAGAAGTGGGTACTGGCCCACAAGGGCCAGAGGACTTGCTCTCAAAAAGGGTTAGGGACATCGTGGTAGGAAGGAGATGTAAAACAAGAAGGACAGGGATAGCAATGACAGCTGGCTTTTAGGGCCTGTGACCTGGGCCGCCTTACTTGTCCAGTCCAATCACATGTGCTTCATGAAAAGGTACAGAACATTTGTAGTGTACAAATAACATTGACTAAGCATGTAACAGTAAGCACCTTACATGAATCTCTCTCATTCAATCCTTACCACAATTTTATGAGAATGTACTATTACCCCTATCTTGCAGATGAAGAAATAAGCTCAGAAAAGGTTAAGTCTTGCCCAAAGCTGGTCCTCTACTGCTATGCAGGAAATAAGGAGGGCAAGATAGTGATCACCATTTTACAGACTATGTGACTGAGGCACAGAAAGGAAGCAGGATTTCTCCAAGGTCAGAGAACAGGATCTTCTCTCCAGTCAGGCCAGTGTGCTTATTACTGTCTTTAGCAACTCACCTCAAGCTCATTCCCATCCTGCAGGAAGCCTCCCTTGACCACTCTAGCCTTTAGGGAGAACTCCTAGAGCACACAGCCCAATACCCACAGAAAGCTCCTGCAGTAGGAAGTAGCCGAGGACCCCGCCCCTTTCCCCCAGAGAATTCCAGGCCAGACTCCCGGCTAAGCACTTGTTGGAATTTAGGCACAAAAAGAGCCTTCAGCAGAGTTGGACTCCCAGGGCAGAGTTCTAGCTCCGTTAAAGCACCTAACAATTTAGCGTGTAATTATATTCTGTCGTGCATTGTTTCCTGTTGTGTTGTTAATTTTGTCTCCTTAGCCCAACTGGAAGCTGCAGGGCAAGAAGTAAGCCTGACTCTTCAGTGGGCCCCCAGGGTGCAGAGGGCTCAGAATAGCCTAGGAGATTGATTGACTGCCCTCAGCCAAGCCCTCAGCAGCTCCCAAGCTGCTCCAAACAGGCCCCTTTCTCCATTCTCCTGCCAGCAGCACTGCTAAGCACCTCTCACCCCCACCACACACCCACACACAAAGGCAGGTGCTCACAACTTGCCAAAGGAATCTTCTTGACCTCTTTACCAGCACCCAGCCCAGAATGCCAACCCAGGACCCCAAGCCACATATAAGGGATGCCAACAAAACATCACACTGGGCCTCTTCCTCAAATAATGAACATTTGTGTGATTACCAATGTCTGTGCTAACTCACAGGCACCTTCTAAAACAATGTTATCACCATTCTGCAGATGAGGAAACCCAAGTCTGTCTGTCCCTAAGCTACACTACCAGTACATCTCACCAGCAACATACAACAACAGGGTTTTGAGTAGGCTCCTTATACTTGGTCTTCTCTTTGATAAAATGGATTACAGCATAGGGCTGTTGTGAGATTTTTAATGAGATCTCAAACCTAGAAACACTATGAAGACACTTGGCATATGGATTTCTCCTTCCCTGCCTCCAGGGTCACCACAAGGATTTAATACTTTGGGGACCATTCTACCCCAGCAGCTTGGCTTTAACTGTGAAGAGACACCACTATGGCTATCATTTGTCAAAAGAGAGAGCCCTCTCAGGAACCCAGGCCAACGAATGGAATCAGGGTAAAGATGAAGGTCACAGTAGAGAGAAAAATCCACGAGACAGAAGACAGGAGTCAGAGCCTACCATCAGAAAAAGCTTCTGAGTATAACCCTCCCCAAAAGGAAGCTCTTCTCCCCCTCACTCTTAAATCTCACCCCAACTCATTCTCCTCTGGATCCCTGGCCAAGAAGAGATGCCAAGAGACAGGTATGGAGCGGGGGCAAAACTTGATCAAGAATCTGGATTTCAATCCTAATTCTGCCACTGTGTGACCTTGGGCAACCTCTCTGGCCCTCAATATTCTCAACTGCAAAATGGGAAGACAGCAATAAAAGAGGCCCCACAGGGTGAATGGAGGGGGAGGTGTCACATGAGAGAACAGATGTAAAGCACTTTCTAAATGACAGATCGCTTGACAAATGTATGAGACTACACCATCAGCAAGAGGTTGGAAGGTAACGATATAGCTAGGAAAAAATATTGCCAGGCACTCCTCAACACAAATGCGCGCGCACACACACACACACACACACACACACACACTTCCTTGAAAGGACAATCCAAACAGACCATGCCTAAAAAACAGGTAAGTGGACCCACCGTGGAGATCAAAGGCAAGGGAATCAACACCCCAAAGCAATCCAGAGAAAGGGGTATAATCAGAGAACAGGTAGCTGTAAGGGGCAAAGTGAACATAGAAGACCAGAAGAGTGCAAACCCATCTGATTAGCTCAAGCACCCTTAGGGTGTGACCCTCCATGACATCAAAGACCCTGTCACCTTAGGTCCCTCATCAGACAGACATAATGAAGAGGAACAAGGTGGCAGCAGAAGGCACCGCTAGCCAGAGGCTGACCACTGGCCCACTGGGCTTCATCCTGAGAAGAGGGCCTACCCAGGCCCAGTTCCTCAAAAAGGAGCACCCTTTCTTCTCAATGCTAGACACAGGGACCCGCGCCCCTGCACCCCGTGTCTCACCTGGTAGGGGTCACTATGGTGCCCCAGCGCTTCCGCCTGCTCCTGGGGTCCTCCAGCGGCTCTGCCAAGCTGGGAGAGGGGCAAGGAGACCTTTCCCCTTGCCACCTCTTCCTCGGCTTTCGCCCTTCCTGAGGGGCGGGCCCGGGAAGCCTCCCCTGGTGGGGAGGGGGTGACAACCTGATCTGACCTCGCGGTCCAGTCCTCCTCCTCCTCGAGGGCGACAGTTGCTGAATCCCGGATTTCTGGTTGTGGGGTCTGAACCCCAGATATTTGAACGAAGGGAAGCTGAATTTGGTATCTGAACGCGCGGGGAATGAACCCCGGATACTGGTGCACGCAGGGGCCTGAACCCCAGATTTTTGAAATCCTATGAAACAGAGCCCCAGGTTTAAAGAGGTTGGGACCCGAGTACTGGATATGTGGGGTCAGAGGGGCTGATACCCGGATATTTGAGAAGCGAGGGGTCAAGCCCGGAAATTCGCGACCGAAGGGCCTGAGCCCCAGCTCTTCGGCCACCGACAGGGGGCCCACCCCGAGGACGTCCGGCCGCACGGCCCCTCTCACACCAGGGTCCGAGGGTGACAGCCCTCACTCCCGCCCCAGCCTCCTCCCTTTTCCCTTCTCTCTCCTGAGGGTAGCTGAAAGATTGTAGCTACGGACGGTCCCCGCGCCTTCTCTCCCTCTCCTCTTCTCAGTCTCAGCCTCTCTCCGCACCACAGCCCCGGTCTCGTCCCGGTCTCCCTCTCCCTCTTCCTCCCAATTCCAAGATGGAGACCGGGCGGGAGCGCGCAGGCGCGGTAGGGACGCCGGGCCAAAGGGGGCGGAACCCCAAATAAAATGGCCCCGCCCCCCTATCCTCACTGCCGGGGCCAGGGAGATGGGCAGTTACCGGGCCAGAGTGCGCGCGCGCTCCGCCACGCGGACCTTGGATGGGAGGAGGCGGGGAGAAGGGCTAGGCTTGGAGGGGGAGGAGCTCAGTAAGCAGTCCGACAAGTGGCCGTGGAGAGAGCTGCGGCGCATGCGCTCGCCCCGCCTTAGCGCTGAGCCCGAGCTTGTTGCTAGGGGAAGCTTTGAGGGGGCGCGAGGGGAAGGAAAGAAGAAGCCGGGATCTGCGCCTGCGTATAGGGTAGCGGTTGGGAGGGGCAAGGGAAGGAGGCTTGCTGGGCGCGGAAAAGGCGGGAAAATGGACTGCTCTGGCTAGTAACCGTACAGCCAGGACGTGGGCTCCCAAGTTTAAGGAATCTTTGCTGGGAAAACTCAGTCTGTCAAATCTCTTCAGGAAGCAGGCCTTTCACAATTGCATGACCTGCCCAAGGTCACACAGCATTTATGTCATTCCCATAACCATACCCACCTGATTCTCTCAACTAGTTGGAACTATTGATTTTCTTTCATAGAAGAAAACAAGACATAAGGTGGCGCAGCTGCGATTAAAACCAAGTGTTTTCCAAAGGCAAGTCATAACAGAGGATAGAGCTGCAGTAATCCATGCCTTATGCCAGCCTGTATCCCAAACTGAAGACTCAACAAGGAAAAGTCCCCCAAACCTGTCTACCTGAAATTCCCACCTCAACCCAATCCCCAATAAACACCCTGGGCAACACTGGGCAAAAAAAGCCTTTTATTTTCCCCCACATTCCAGCTCTCCATTTTTTGGTAACATCTCTTCCAACTTAGAACAAAGTCTGGAGAAGTTGATTCACACCTGGAGAAAAAGAAGAGTAAAAACAGGGGCAGAGTGGTGCCTGGGAGGCTCAGTTGGTTAAGCATCTGCCTTCAGTTCAGGTCATGATCCTGGAGTCCTGGGATCGAGCCCCCCTGTGGGGCTCCCTGCTCAGTGGGGAGTCTGCTTCTCCCTTTGCCTCTGCTTCTCCCCCTACTCATGTGTGCTCTCCCTCTCTCTCTCTGTCTCACACATAAATAAATAAAAATCTTAAATGAAAAAACAAACAGGACAGATTAGAGGGCTTTTGGGGGAAGCTCTGGGATGGCTGTAAAGAGTGAGGAAGGGGGTGCCTGGGTGGCTCAGGTCATGGTCCCAGGGGTCCTGGGATCGAGTCCCACATCGGGCTCTCTGCTCAGCAGGGAGCCTGCTTCCCCCCGCCACCCCTCTGCCTGCCTCTCTGCCTACTTGTGATCTCTTTCTCTCTATCAAATAAATAAATAAAATCTTAAAAAAAAAAAAAAAAGAGTGAGGAAGGAGCAGAGGAAGTGGTGACTACAGATGGGTACAAGCACTCATCCCAACTGGGTGGGCCCCTTCAGATCCCCAGGATCTGCTAGGAGCCAGAAAGCCTTCATTTCCCAGTCCACTCAGATCTAAGAAAAGCTATGAGGGTTCCACTATCTCCTATCCCAAGTAGGTGGAGCCTAGCCCTGAGCAAAATTAGCAATGTGGATCTTGAGCGTCCAGTTTCTCTGGCCAGAGCCTTTCCCTGGGCTTGGGCTGTTTCTGCTTCTCCTGTGGCTATCTCCTAGGGTATAGCAGCTAGTTATTGAAGCTGAGAACAGTTTAAGAGCTGGATGCACAACAGATAACTCTCAAATTATATAACCTCCACCTGACAGAGTGAGACTTTTGTATAGAAATATTCTTTCCTTAATGAGCAGACACACGGACTAGTTAGCCAAAATGTTCCCCACCCACTGCTACCTTTGTTAGCTGTGTTCCTCCAAAGACTGTTAGCAAACTCAACTTTTTCTAGATGCAATGAAGGCTGATGGAAAAGAGAAAGTGTATGTAAAACGCTTCGGCACTTACTTTGTGCCTAGTAGATGGGCATCATCAATCCTTTTGTGCTGTTCAAGGTGAGTTTTACAAAATTTGCATCATAAAACTGGGTATCAGGATTCCAGGACAAAAGCAAAATAAACAGAATTCATATCCAGGATGCATCATCAGATCCATCCTGTTAACTCACCACTGTTGCCAGAAAGCTTGGATATTAACTACAGCTATGGATGAATCTCAAAATCAGAATGTTAACCAAAAGAAGGCGGTCACAAAAGAATATGAGTCCATCTACATGAAGTTCAAAAATAAGTAAAACCATTTTGTTTATGAATGACCCTATCTCAGTTATATTTGCCACGTCCACCCCATCCACTACTCCCACAGGACTGGGGCAAAGAACCTTACCTGAGAACAAGATGGGAACTAGGCCAGCGCCCTCAGAGCCGGGTTCTAGACCAGTGGGACTCCCGGCGTGGGTGGAAGCACACAGCAGTGAGACAGCAGAGAAGGCCACAGAAGAGAAGCAGGAAGGAGCCCAAAACAAGCAGTCTGGAGCCACACAGAGCCAGCTCCTCCTAAGGACGGGCAAAGGGAAAGAAGGAATGAATGAGAGGGAGGAAGGGTGGAGAATCTTCTCCTGGGAAGATATTTTATCCCCGGGGCCAAGAGATATAGAGAGAAGCCCCTGTGGGGGGAGAGGGCTCTCTATATCCAAGGAACAACCAAATGGAAAATGTAATTTCCATACAAGCTAATTGTCTCAATGGTCTATGAACTGCTTTCTCACCCAACCATCGAAGCGAGCCCCTCTAATGTGTCCATGAGATAGGAAAGTTCACTACTGCCATTTTAAATATGCTTGAGCAGGGCCAGGTCTGGAAACCAGTATTTTCTCTGGTTTAAGCTCCTGAGTGGTGTTCCTCACTGGGGTCTTTGCACATGTGAGGGAAAAGCACGCAGCAGCCTCCTAACTGGTCTATCTCCTCTGCTCAGTCGGTCCCTCTCAACCAGCATCAGTGGCCCCATGGCCTGCAGTATTAAGTCATAGTGTTTTAGCCTCAAGTTACAGAGCCTCACAATAAGGCCCCTGCCTCTCTCCCGTCTCTTCCCCTCAGTCTTTCCTAAGCCCCTCCTCATGGAGTGCCCTCGAAGGCCAGACACTTTTCAATCTCTAGGTCTGTGCTCGTGCTGGTCCTTTGGCCTGGAATTTATGTCCCTTCTCCAGAATCCCCTCTATTGCATTCTCTGCCCACATCTTCCTCCTCCTCCAGGGTCACCCTGAAAGGGCAGACAAAGCCTGGGACTGCAGTCAGAAGGCACAGGTTGTAATCCTGGGTCTGCCACTTAACCAGCTATGTGGCCTTGGGCAATTCACTCCCTCTCTCTAAGCCTGTTTCCTCATCTGTAAAATGGGATAATAACAGCTACCTCAAAAGGCTGTTTTAAGATCAAATGAGATAATGAACCTGAAAGCACTTTGTACATTATAAACTACTGTACACAATTCTCTTTCTTAAATGCCACCTTCTCTGTGAAGCACTCTCCATAAATGTTCAAGATAGGGTTAATTGCTCCTTACTCTGTGTTTGAATAACATCTCTATGATAGCGATTAGCCCATTCAGCCTCTCATTGCAGCTTCTGCATTCCTTTAATGTGGAGATCATATTTTATTCTGTTTAAAGACAATCGTTAATAGTAATAGCTCTCACTCATCCACTCTCTGTTAGGTAGCAGGCGTTGTACTGGGCACCTGACATTCATTCTCATTCATCTTTATTTGTTGGCATCAGGAGATAGTATCATGTTTTCCATTTTACAGAGGAGGAAGCTGAGGCTCAGAGAGGCTCAGATGCTCGCTCAAGGTCACACAGCCTCTGGGGCAAAATGACAGAGCCTGTGCCTTTTCTGTTAGGTAAAACTGCCCCCAGTGGCCTTCAAGGCAGAGCGTTCAGCTGGCAGTGTATGAAATCCCAAAAACCTGAGGCTCTTACCGAGGTGAGCAGCTTGGTGAGCACAAGGCCTTCGTGGCTCCAGACGCTGACACACTCCTCAGTCGTCCTAAGACTCAAGGTGGCATTTCCTGTTCCCTCCTCTGAGCAGGAGAGGGGTGGCTGGCTGGAGGGCAGGATTTCTGAAGCAGCACTAAAATACAGGCACGTTCCTGGGGTCCTTTCTGTGGTCACTCTGGCAGTAATGAGGACCCGCTCTTCTGCAGAAGATCCTGTGAGAGGCACAGGAGAGGCAGTGGAAGAAGTTGGAGGGCAGGGTGGAAGCCATTTATCTTCAGACTTCCATTCATTTCTAAGGCTTCCTTCAGTACCAGCTGTTTTGGCATTCAATAAGTACTCTGTACACTATCACTGTGTCAATAAGAAATAACAATAACTATGTATCCGCATAAACAAAAAATTAACTTTGCTTACAATCAATAAAACAATCATGCCAATGCTCACAAAGTTGCAGTGAAACTGGGGCAGATACACATTGCCAATGTCAGTCTATATAAAGGAGTCTGTCCCTTTTAAGAAAGCAGTTTCCTAGTAGGTACCAAAATCCATGAAAAGGTTCACATCCCATTTCAAATTAGCTGGGAAAGGATGGTCTATTTAGTCAATGCCCTTGGGACAATTTCCATTTGGGGGAAAAAAAAAGTCAGACTCATCTCACACTATAAAATAAAGTCCAGATGTGCTAGAGACCTATACAAACAAATTAAACAAAACAAAACCCAAAGAAAATTCAGAAGAATATTTTCTAAGTTTATAGTGGGGAAGGCCTTCCTAAAAAAGACACAAGAACTACAAGCCTGAGTAAAGAATGAGAGCAATAAACTTAACCTTGTAACAGTTGAAGGCTTCTCAAAGATGAAAGGTAATTAAAAAAAAAAAAAAAGTAACAGAATGGATAAAAATACCTATCCATTTTTGGTAAAGATTTATTTATTGGGGGGCGCCTGGGTGGCTCAGTGGGTTAAGCCTCTGCCTTCAGCTCGGGTCATGATTTCGGAGTCCTGGGATTGAGCCCCACATTGGGCTCTCTGCTCAGTGGGGAGCCTGCTTCCCCACCACCTCCACCGCCTCTGCCAGCCTCTCTGCCTACTTGTGATCTCTGTCAAATAAATAAATAAAATCTTAAAAAAAAAAAAAAGATTTATTTACTGGGGCGGGGGGACAGCAGGAGAAACTCTTCAAGCAGACTACCCTCTGAGCAAGGAGCCCATGGGACTTGATCTCATAACCCATGAGATCCTTACCTGAGCTAAAACCAAGAGCTAAATGCTTGACAGACTGAGCCACCCAGGTGCCCCAAAATGCCTATATTTAATTGGTAAAAAGGTTTACAATCCAGAATATATAAGGATCTTCTAAAAATCAAAAACATAAAGACAAGCAACTTAAAAGACAAATGAGCAAAGGATACGAATAGAAAATTCATGGAGGCATGAAAATGGCCAATAAACCTACAAGATAGTCAACCTCACTAACAATCAGAAGAAAGTAAATGAAAACAATCAGGCAATTTCTTTGCTCATTAAATTGGTAAAAATTAAAAAGACTGATAATAACAAGAGTTGCTGGGGCACCTGGGTGGCTCAGTCATGGTCCCAGGATCCTGGGATCGAGCCCCGCATCAGGCTCCCTTGCTTAGTGAGGAGCCTGCTTCTTCCTCTGCCTGTTTCTCCCTTTGCTTGTGCTCTCTCTCTGTCAAATAAATAAATAAAATATTTAAAAATAAATAAGTAAAAAATAATGAGTTACTGAAGATGTAAGGAAATGGGCACTCTCAGTGAGTGACACCTTTTAGAAGATGATGTGGCTGTATCTATCACAATTTTAAATGGGTACAGACTGTGCCTGAGAGGATGCCCATCAAACTGTTGACACTGGGGGCACCCGGGAGGCTCAGCCATTAGGCCGCTGCCTTTGGCTCAGGTCATGATCCCAGGGTCGTGGGATCGAGCCCCGCATTGGGCTCCTTGCTCGGCAGGGAACCTGCTTCTCCCTCTCCCACTTCCCCTGCTAGTGTTCCCTCTCTCGCTGTTCACTGTCTCTCTCTGTCAAATAAATAAAATCTTAAAAAAAACAAAACAAAACTGTGGACACTGCAGGAGAGGTGAGACAGATTTTTACGTACGCTTTTTATAATTCTTTGTGGTCCGAATCCAAAACAAAACAAATCTGTCTATTAAAAAAAGGTCCAGGGATGCCTGGGTGGCTCAGTTGGTTGAACAACTGCCTTCGGCCCAGGTCATGATCCCGGAGTCCCAGGATCGAGTCCCGCATCGGGCTCCCAGCTCCACGGGGAGTCTGCTTCTCTCTCTGCCCTTCTCCTCACTCATGTTCTCTCTCACTGTCTCTCTCTCAAATAAATAAATAAAATCTTTAAAAAAAAAAAAAAAAAAAAAGGTCCATACCCTTTGACTCAGTAATGACATTTATAGAAATTCATTGTAAGGAAAGGATTCAAAAGAAAGATGCCATGTATACCAAGATGTTTATTGTGTTACACACACACACACACACACACACATAAAACAGGAAGCGATAAGCTGTTTAACACTAGGAAAAGAGTTACAAATGATGGCCCAACCACTTAATGGATCTTTACAGGTCCATTGGTGTATATCCATTAAAATAATAATGTCCAGACCAGGCAGAAACTAAAAAAATGATGTCATAAGTGAAAAAAGAGAAATACAAACCACTGTGTATGTATGTGTGTGTATATATTGCATGTGTATATATACATCATAATGACTATAAGAAATATACATGCAAACTTTCTAAGAGAACCATCCCCTGTTTCTCTACATTCCCCAGATCGAATCATCCACCAAGTCCTGTCCACCCACTGTCAATGTCTCTCTCGGATCAGTCCCCTTCTTTCACGGCATTGTCTTAGCTTGGGTGTCCTCATCATCTTTCTATTGTAACCACCTCCTACCCGGTCTTCCTGCCATTGGACACACTTCTACCAGGCAGTCAGCCAACAGAGTGTGATCTTTTTCAAAGAACAGCAACAAACTCATTCTATTTTCCTGACAAAAATATTGAGTTTGCCCAGTGCACTAGATAAAGTTCAACTACCTGGGCTTGGCACATGAGACCCTCCAGAGGATTCTGTCTGCTTCCTCAAATACATCTCTTGCCACTCATTCAACACTCCTTCCCCTGCAGCACTCAAACTGAACCCCTTGGAGTTCTCAAACATGCTATTATGGTCCCGGTCAGTATGCCTTTGTATATGCTTGGAAGAGCACACTCCTAACTCTCCCTCAAGCCTTGGCTCCAGCACTGAATCCTTGGAAAAGCCTCTTCGCTAACCCTGTGTGACAGACTCCTGAGTATTCCCACTGTAACCTGTGTGCTCCTTCACACGTTTAAAGGTATTTGCTTCTGGTCATATCTGTATCCTTGCTAGACTTTGTAAGCAGCTCGAGGCCAAGGCCCATGTCTTACATGTCTCTATATTTCCCATGCTTGGTACATAGTAGGTGCTCAATAATTATTGCTTAGATGATGCAGTCGTATTTTTATTCTGTTTCTAACCATTATAAAAAGAACAAGGCTTGTCTGCAGAAGCAGAACTTGAGAAGCTGATCCTAAAATCCACATGGTAATTAAAGGGATCTAGAATAAGCAAAAGAATTTTTAAAAAGGAGAACAAAGTTGGAAGACTCACATTTTCTGATTTGAAACTTAATACAAAGCTGCGGTAATTAAGAGTATGGAGCTACCATAAGGACAGACACATAAATCAGTGGAACAGAACTGAGAATCCAGAAATAAACCTATATATACATCCATGGTCAACTGATTTTCAGTAACGGTGCCAAGACTATTCAAAGGAAAGAACTGTCTTTTCAACAAAACATGCTGGGACAACTGGAGAGACACTTGCAAAAGAACAAAGCTGAACCCCATCCTCACACCATTCACAAAAGTTAACTCAAAATGGATCCTACAGCTAAATGTAAGAGTTAAAACTATAAAACTTTAATAGAAAAGATAGGGGTAAATCTTCGTGAGGTTGAGTTAGGCAAAGCTCTGCTTAACCAAGACACTAAAAGCACAAGCAACTAAAAAAAAAAATACTTTGGGGCGCCTGGGTGGCGAGTTGGTTAAGTGTCTGCCTTTGGAAAAGGTCATGATCCCCAAATCCTGGGATCCAGCCCCACATTGGGCACGCTGCTCAGCAGGGAGTCTGCTTCTCCCTCTTTCTGCCCCCTGCCTCCCCCTGCTTGTACTCTCTTTCTTTCTTGCTCTCAAAAAACATCTTAAAAAAAAAAAAAAGAACACCATCAACAAAGTGATAAGATAACCCAGAGAATGGGAGAAAATATGTGCAAATCATACATCAGATAAGAGACTCGTATCTAGGGGCGCCTGGGTGGCTCAGTAGGTTAAAGTCTCTGCCTTTGACTCAGGTCATGGTCCCAGGGTCCTGGGATGGCGCCCCTCATTGGGCTCTCTGTTCAGCGGGGAGCCTGCTTTCCCCTCTCTCTTTGCCTCCCTCTCTGCCTACTTGTGATCTCTGTCTGTCAAATAAACACATAGTATCTTAAAAAAAAAAAAGAGACTTGTGTCTAGGAAAACAAACAACTCTTACAACTCAATAATTAAAAGGCAAATTATCCAAATTTTTTTAAAAGGCAAAACTCTGAATATACATTTCTTCAAAGAGGATAGACAAATGACCAAGAAGCCATAAAAAAATGCTCAGTATCATTAGCCATGCCACAGTGAGATACTACTTCCCAATGACTAGGATGGCTAGAATTTAAAAAAAAGATAATAAGTGTTGGTAAGGACATGGAGAAACTGGAATTCACCCACTGCTGGGGGAAACACAAAATGGTACAGCCACCTTGGAAAACAGTCTGGCAGCTCCTCAAAAGATTAAACACGGAGTTATAATATGACCCAGGAATTCCACTTCTTGGTATTTTATTTCCCCCAAGAGAAATGAAAATGTACGATCACACAGAATCTTGTATGCGAATGTTGACAGCAGCATTGTTTATAATAGTAAAAATAGTAAATAGTAATAGTAATAATATAGTAAATGTAATAATATAGTAAAATAGTAATAGTAAAAATAGTAAAAAATCAAAAAGTAAAAACAATTCAAATGTCAAACAACTGATGAATGGATAAATAAGATGTGGAATATCCATACAATGGATGTTATTCAGCAACAGAAACACAGAATACGGATGCGTGCTATGACATGGATTGTACCCTGGAAACATACTGATGGAAAGAAGCCAGTCACAAAACAGCACACATTGTATGAAATGTTCCGAATGAGCAAATCCACAGAAAAAGAAAAGTTAGTAGTTGCCTGGGTCTGGGAAGCTAGGAGGAAAAGGGGAGCAACTGCTAACGGGTACAGGATCTCTTTTCAGGGAATGAAATGCTCTAAAATTGATTGTGGTGGTAGTTGCACACTTCTGGGACAATACGAAAAGCCATTGAATCGTACCTTTTAAATGTGTGAATTTTATGTTATATGATCCTATTTCAATACAGCTGACGTACATATATTTATAAAATAAAAAGAACAGGAAAAAGTATCTCAAGTCTGTATGTATCAGACACCTTCCTTTACTCTCTTTGACCACACAGATGTACACCTGGACATTAGAGACCTTCCCCTGCATGGCCCCCCCCCAAAATTCACAAGAGAATCTTAGAATGATAGCATCAGAAGACAGAGAGTTCCACCTTTCTCTCCTCCCTTTTCATCTCTCTGATTTCAGACAAGGAACCTGAGGCCAAATCTCACACAGGATCAATGGCATCCACTGACACTACCTTTCTCCCATCATTTTCCCAGAAGACTCTAAGCTCTGTGGGAATGGATGATGTCTAATTTTTTCTGTATCCTCCATCCTCCATAGCACACACAGCTGTGCTAAGAAGAGAGCAGGCACTCAATGCACTTGGTTAATTGAACAGGACATGCTTCTTGAACATCCCTGAGGAAAAAGAAGGTGCCTCTAAGAGGAGTAAGCAAGAGGGATAAAGAAGGAAGAGAAAGAACATTAGGTCAAATCTACCCCGTCGCATCACACCTCCAAGGATAGACTCAAAGAACCTCAGAGCTGGAAGGGAAAAGAGAAAACACCTACAGGGAACCCAAAGAGTATCACTGTAGTTACTGAAAGAATGTAGCCCTTACTACAGCAGAAGTGACTAAGGCCTTGGGATATGCCCAAGGTCACCAGGCTGGAGAAGTCAGAGACAGAACCCACCCCTAAGTGTTCTGATGCCCAACCCACAGTCCTCTTTGATCTCACCTTTCAATCCCATGTGACTACCCTGGACCATAGTTTGGAATGTCTGTGTCTTGTTCCTGTCTGGACCATCTCCGAAGTTCAAGGTGGTCAGTAAGCCCACGACCTGAGGCCCATGCCACTTCCCTGTGACTGTCCCATTCACGGGACACAGGGTCAGCTGGCCAAAAGATCTCAAAAAAGAGACCCAGTCCTGTGTGCAAAAGAAAGGTAGGAGAGAGGTGAGAGATTAGCAGCACAAGCAAGGATGTGTGAAAAGGATGAAGGTACTCACCTGAGGGATGTCAGGGCTGCGCAAGCCAGTGCTGTGGGTGAGGAGGAAGCCACCAAGGCCCAGGCCTGACAGGCCAAGAAGCAGCAGGATCAAAGTGGCACAGACCAGAGGTGGGTGGTGGGCCAGACAGAGATGCAGGTTGTGCCCTGCCTGGCAGCTGCCCATGGGGAGGAGAAGGGTCCGGGCCTCCACGGAGAGCCTGCTGGAGGATAGGAGGGGAGAACTGGACAAGAGCCTGCCAGTCAGAAGGCACTTACCCATTTTATTCAAAGGGAAACTAAAACACTGAAAAGACAAGGTGCTTGCCCAAGGCCACACGGCCAGTTAGTGGCAGAGCCAGGACAAGAGTCTAGGGCTCTCAACTCCAAGTGTTCACCCCTCTGCATCGCTAAATAAATGTTTGCTGTATCTGATTTCTGAAGTAATCAAGGCAGAAGCAAAGCAGAGCACGCTGTGTTGGAAAGAGGAACCCAAAAGGAGAATTCTCAAGGGGAGAAATTCAGGAAGCAGCTGTTGTGGGGATAAGGTTTGGCTGAGGAACTGTTCCATCCAACAGCCCAGACAAAGGAAGTGTCTGATGAAAAGAAACTTCACTGGGGAGCAAAAACGGTTCTGTCTGTATCCTCCTCCGCCACTCACTGGCTATGCGAGAAAAATGAGTTAACCTTTGTGACTTTAGGGATCTGTGAAAGAACAGCAAATAATAAGGACTAAATGTGACAGATAAAGCAGTTTTGCATAGTACTCGGCCTTGCAGGAACTCAATAATGTCCATTTCCTTTCTATTTCACTGTGTCATACTGAACTTTAAAACTAGGCCAAGCAAGGCAAAAAATACTTAGTGGAAACTGAGATTCGGGGACTTTCACAGAGGAGTGGCAGGCAGGGCCAAGCTCTGAAACCCGTCTTCTGCTTCCAGGTAGAGTGCCCTTTCCCAGGCGGGAAGCGACAGGCTGATGAAAAGGAACCCCTGGAAGATGGGATAAACATATGGGGTGGATGGGCAGAAGGAGGGCTGCAGGAAAATGCAGGTGTCACAAATGCCCAGTCCCTGCCCTGCCTCCCGTCCCGGCACATCTGGAAAGGGGGAGAAAGCACGAAGGCGGAGGGCAGAGCCTGAGTTCAGCCGCAGGTGGTGCCCCTGGGCCTCCCCTCCCCCCCGCAAAGCCCCTCCTGCAGGAACTCAACACCCGCACCATCCCTTCCCGGTCCTGCGGCGTCGGATCCGCCTGCCGCTCCCTCTCACCGCTCGGAGCCGGGCGGAGGCCGGCGCCCCCCGCGACGTCACGCGTGGAGCAGCGAGGGGCGGGGTCCGTGCTCCCCCCACCCACCGTGGGGATTCGCATGCGCGCTGTCCACGCGGGCAGCAGCCCGGCCCCTCCCAGGCTGGGTGGGGGCGTACCAAGAAGGAACCAGTGAAGGGGCAACGGAGAAGAACGTACTCCGCGGTAGGTGAGTAAAAGGGAGAGAAGGCAAAGGAGCTGATTGTGAGGACGTTGTTAGAACTGTAAAGCCTCACTCCGGAGACGCTGTGGGGCATTTGAACGAGAATCGCGTAGCAGGCATTTTTCTGTTGCCCGTCCCCCTCCCGCGCCAATCGCACAGCCCAGCCGCGCCCAGGTTCCGGGTATGAATTTGGGGTCTGCCCGGCTGGGGAAGCGGGGTGGGGCGAAATTCCAGCCCCGAGATTCTGGCCTTGCAGACAGTTCGGGCTGCGCTTTTCTCTGCAGGCCCAATGTCTGCACCTCACGTTTGGTCCCCTGGTTTTAGTGAGTCCTTAATGCTTAGGATCCTACAGCTGCCAGACTGCTCAATAGAGGCTATCTCATTTCATTTCTGCCCAGATTTTAGAGATGAGAACACCAAAGTCCACCTTACCTGAACAGCAGGACGCATGGAGGAGCCAGGAACCCGGGGTTCAAATCCTAACTTTGTACCTATCTCTGCACAAGTCATGACCATGCTCTTTTGGGGAGCTGAGTTTGGTGAAGGGGTTCAACCCACCTACCTCACTGGTTGGATGGGAAGCTTAAGAGACCAAGTGTGGGAAAACATGGGCCCAGTGTGCACTGAGCACTGAACCGCGCTGGGCAAATGCTCTTTCAAACAAAATCTTGGTATTCAACTCTAGCGAGTTGCTAAGACAGAGACCTGGTCACTCGTGTTCCACCCGCTTCCCAAAACCCTTTCCCATACGGTAAAATAAGATTCAACAAGGGTGCCAGGACCATTCCATGAGGTAAATCTAGTCTTTTCAACACACGGTATTGGGAACTGGATATTCACATGTGAAAGAATGAAGTTAAACTGTTACTTTACACCACTTACAAAAGTTAATTCATAATGCACCAAAGATCTACATGTAAGATCTGGAAGTATAAAACTCTTAGAAGAAAACAGGAAAGCTTCATGACATTGGATTTGGTAATGATTTCTTGGGTATGACACCCAAAGCACAGACAGAAGAAAAAAAAAAAAGGTAAGTGGACTACATCAAAATTTAAAATTTCTGTGCATTAAAGGACACAACGGAATGAAAAGGCAACCCACGAAATGGGAGGAAATATTTGCAAAGCATGTATCTGCTAAAGAGTAAATGATACATAGAATATATAAAAAATTCTTAACAGTGCAACACAACAACAAAAATCCTGGTTAAAAAGTAGGAAAAGGACTTGAAGATATTTCTCCAAAGGCCGATAGGCATAGGAAGAGAAACTCAACATTATCATTAGGGAAATGCAAATGAAAACCACAATTAGATACATCTCACAGCTATTGGGTGGCTACTGTTAAAAAAAAAAAAAAAAAGAAAGAAAGAAAAGAAGTGTTAACAAGGCTGTGGAGGAATTAGAACCCTTTTGCTCTGTGAGTGGGAATTTAAAATGGTACAAGTGGGGCGCCTGGGTGGCTCAGTCCTTAAGCATCGTGCCTTCAGCTCAGGTCATGATCCCAGGGACCTGGGATCCAACCCCCAGATGGGGCTCCCTGCTCTGTGGGAAGCCTGCTTTTCCCTCTCCCACTCCCCCTGCTTGTGTTCTCTCTCTTGCTGTGTCACTCTCTGTCAAATAAATAAAATCTTTACAAAATTTTTTTAATTAAAAAAATGGTACAACTACTAGGGAAAACAGAATGGTGGCTCTTCAAAAAATTAAAAGTAGAATTATGAGGGGCACCTGCCTGGCTCAGTCAGTGGAGTGTGTGACTCTTGGTCTTGGGGTTGTGAGTTTGAGTCCCACATTGGGTGTAGAGATTACTTAAAAAAACATTTAAAAAAATAGAATTACCATACTATCCAGCAATTCCACTTTGGGTATATACCCCAAAGAACTGAAAGCAAAATCTCTAAAAAATATTTGTATACCCATGTTCATAGCAGCATTCTTCACAAGAGCTAAAAGGTGGAAGCAACCTAAGGGTCCATCAACAGGTGAATGGATAGACAAAATATGGATTATACATACAATGAAATATTATTCAGCCTTTAAAAGGAAGGAAATTCTGATACATGCTGTAACATGGATGAAGCTTGAGGACATTTTGCTAAGGGAAATAAGCCAGTCACAAAAAGAGAAATACTGTAAGATTCCACTGATACGTGGAATTAGAGTAGTTAAAATCATAGAGTGGGGTGCATGGGTGGCTCTGCCTTCGGCTCGGGTCATGATCCCAGAGTGCTGGGATCAAGCCATCGGGCTCCCTGCTCACTGGGGATTCTGTTTCTCCCTCTGCTCCTCCCCCTTCCTCTGCTCCTGCTCTCTCTCTCTCTCTCATGCTCATGCACATGTGTGCGTTCTCTCGCAAATAAAATAAAATCTTAAAAAAATCATAGAGACAGAAAGTAGAATGGTGGTTGCCAGGGGCTGGCGGGGGGTGGGGGGAGAACAGGAATGGGGAGTTATTATTGTTTAATGGGTACAAAGTCTCACTTTTGTTTTGTTCTTAAAGATTTTATTTATTTATTTGAGAGAGAGAGAGAGAAAGTGAGAGAGAGCATGAGAGGGGAGAAGGTCAGAGGGAGAAGCAGACTCCCTGTGGAGCTGGGACCCTAACTCGGGACTTGATCCTAGGCCTCCAGGATCAGGACCCAAGCCGAAGGCTGTTGCCCAACCAACTGAGCCACCCAGGCGCCCCCAGAGTCTCAGTTTTGCAAGATGAAAAGAATTCTGGAGATGAATGATGGTAACGATTGTACAAGGTGAATGTAATTAACACTACTGAATTTCTACACTTAAAAATGTACATGTAAAAGTGGTTAAGATGGTAAATCTTTATGTTATGTATATTTTGTCACCATTAAAAATAACAATCATTAAAAAAACCTTGGTGGGGCTCCTGGGTGGCTCAGTGGGTTAAGCCTCTGCCTTCGGCTCGGGTCATGATCTCAGGGTCCTGGGATCAAGTCCCGCATCGGGCTCTCTGCTCAGCGGGGAGCCTGCTTCCCTCTCTCTCTCTCTGCCTGCCTCTCTGTCTACTTGTGATCTCTCTCTGTCAAATCAATAAATAAAATCTTTAAAAAAAAAAAAACCTTGGTGTGTATGTGTGTATGTGGGGGGAACTTATGGCACTGTCACCTTGAGCATAGTGGCTCATGAATGCCATTGATTGACTTAATTGAAATTCTAAACATAGGAAGTCTTTTCTTCTCAAAGGAAAAATAAGTGTGGCTGACAGAAAATTTTAGAACCTAAGAACTGGAAGGCACTCAGTAACTGAACAGGTTCAACAATAACCACCCCCTACCCTCACTTTATTTTCCAGATGCTAAACTGATGTCTAGAGAGGTTAAGGGACTTTCCCCAAGTCTCCCAACCAGTTAAGCCTCAGCGAGAACAGAACCCAAGTGTCCCAACACTGAATCTAGTCTTTTCCCATGAGATCCTCCTTGCTCAGTCCTGTCAAGAGATCTCTTCTGAAAACCTGCAAAAGTCTCTGCCCAACCAACTCTCAGTCACACCTGGCCTAGTCTGAGCCGGTAGGTCACCTTTCCCTAGTCTTAGTCTTGTCTCACAAGCCAGCACCTCAGTTCCTGGAATAGTATGCTCCGTAAGCCCCAGGTCTTCTCATAGTTTTGTTTTGTTTTTTAAGATTTTATTTAATTATTTGCCAGAGAGAGCACAAGCAAGGGGAGCAGAAGGAAGGCAGAGGAAGAAGTAGGCAAAGGGAGAAGCAGGCTCGCCACTGAGCAAGGAGACCAATGTGGGACTTGATCCCGGGACCCTGGGATCAGGACCTGAGCAGGTACTTAACCTACTGAGCCATCCACGTGTCCATCTTTTCATAGTTTGAGCACAGTATTTACTCTAAATATTTGTTATTTAATGTATTGATAACGGCTTCTTACAGGCCAGTTT